GGTCGCACATGTCGCAAAGACCCCACAGGCCCAACGCAGGCCCCGCAGGTCGCGCAGGTTCTATGGTGTTTCCGCCTCGCGCATAAGCCCTAGAGGTCGCGCGGGCCGCCCGCAAGTCCTACAACTACCAAGGGGCCCACAGGTCCCTCAGGTCCCACGGGGCCCGGAGGTCCCACAGGTCCCACAGGCCCCGCAGGTCTCACGGTCCCCGCAGGTGGCTCCATAGGTCTCACAGGTCTAACATTAAGTCGGGCATGTCCGTCAGGGGGAGTATGGAAAAGTAGCAAAAAAGAGTACGAGGACGATTTTTCTAGTAGTTTTGAATTTTGTTGTAGTATGTTTTGACTATTCTTAATTTGTCTTCCGAAATCCGCCTGTCGGGTGACATGCCCGACCTCGCACTGGCTCCATAGGTCTCACAGGTCCAACAGGCTCCACAAGTTCGGGGGGTTCCACTGGTCCCACGTATCCCACGGGCCCCGCAGATCCCACGGGTCCCACACGGCCCACGAGCCCCACAGGTCCCGCAAGGCCCCACAGGGCTCGCAACCGCTCCTGCAGCTCCCACGGGCCCCGCTGGTCCAACATGCCCCGCAGGTCGCCCAGCTCCCACGAGTCCCACAGGTCCCAGAGGTCGTGTTCCTGGTATCCTGGTATCCTGCCATCATCACCATCGTTACCCGTCGATGATGAGGATCCTCGTGCGCACTAACGAGGTTATCATGTGGGCTCCTTCCGTCGGAGTAATGGCTTCCCATGTGTGCATTTAGAAGCAGCACGTGGTCTTTGTGTATCAGATGTGCACGACATCTTATACATTCTCATGTAACGAACTTATAGCGGCCGCGCTACTCACATTGAACCTGCTAGTGCCTCGTTGCACACTTTACTTGGTCATCGTCGCTGAATCATGAAGAATATGAAAACATTCGATCCCGTTGTTTCGTATACAACTTAGATTCGTTTGAATGTTTCTATAGTCCCGAGAATCGTATAGCGGCGATCCCCAGCGCGAGCGTGTAAGGCTGAACGCCGTCCGAGGCCCAGAATCGGAGCACGGTTTAACGATCCGGCGTTTCTAAGACGGCCGATTGTTAAAGTTTGAACGATCCCCGCGGTGTTAGGAACCACCGCAAAGGGCGACACGACGCGAACCTGCCGTACCGCGGCATCCATGCCTGTATTTGCAGGCGGGTGCCACACGCGGGGATTCAGCTAAGTCAGCAGTCAGGGCGCTGAACCAGGTGCCTGGTTGCTGCTCTGTGGTCGATTGCGCCTGACTTTGCCCGAGGCCTTCAGACTTGCTCACGTTTCCACACAAGGTGGTCCACTTTCTTTGAGTAAGTCAGTCTTACTTCAGTTCAGCTTGACCCGCTGACTGCACCCAACAGGGAGCTGGAGGACAAATCGTGTCAGGGTGCGTGTGCGTGTGTGTGTGTGTGTTTGCGTGAGTGTGGAACAGAGGGGGATATTAGGGAGGGGATGTTTTCAAACCGAATACTGGTCTCCTGCCTGCCACTTCCTCACCAACAGGTGGGTCCCCGACCCACTTCCCATCAAGTGTCATACGGGCTCCGGTCCACCCACTCTCCCAGTCCTTCCGGCGTCGCGTAATGGGGGGGCGATGAATCGAGGGGTGACGAGAGGTGCAACTTTTGTTCCCTAAGGGGCCCCGAATGCCCGGCTCCTGCTTCCCGCGCCCGCATCCGTTCTTCCGGCACGCTTGCTTCCCACCGCCGACCTCAAGGACGTACACGTACATGAATCCGCGTCGGTTTCGAAAGTGTTCATTGCGCGAATTTTTGTATCACGCGGCTGGTCTCGCGGGTTGGAGGGCCGTGTTCATGTACGCGGGTGGGCGCGTGCGTACTTTGCGGGTTCCCTATTTGTGCCCGGCTGCTCTGTCTCGCCTCGTCCGCCGGCTGGCCTGCCCCGCGCTCCTGTTTCCCCGAGGCCCGCGTCTTGGAGCCTCCCTGGCTGCCCCGCTGCCTCGGCTCCTGCCTTCCTCCTCCTCCTCCTCCGCCTCCTCCTCCTCATCCCTCAGGGTTTCTCCGAAGGGCTTAGCCTCCTCCTCCTCCTCCTCCTCTCGGGTCGGGCGAAAGGGGGGGTTTGGGAAAGGGGGGGTTACGAAATCTGCTGCATGCAGCTGGTTTCGGCCCCACCGAGGGGCCCATTCCTCGATACATGCCGCCTCCGGCGCCGGGAGGCGCCGGGAAAATCAGCTACGGGAGCTGATTCTCAAACCCCCCCTTTGCTATCCCCCCCTTTCGCCCGACCCGATCCTCCTCCTCCTCCTCCCTCCTCCTCTTCCTCCTTATGGGAAGTGGGAGGAAGACGAAAATCCAGAAAATACAAACAAGTATTGGGAACCCTGGGATCTGTGGGTATTTATTTGTGTCTCCTTGGGCCCCTTCATCCCCGCCTTCCTGCTGCGCGGGGGCGGTGAGCACCGCCTCGTGCGGAGGGCCCGGGCCGCCGCCCTCCGCGGCCAGTGGGAGGC